GCTCCAGGCTCTGAGCTGTCAGCACAGAGCCTGAGCAGGGCTCAAACCCATGGACCAGACTGCGAGATCATGACCTGATCTGAAGTCGGATGCTCAACCGACTGAGCCACCCAGGTGCCCCACACATGTACCTTTAAAAGAAAAAGTATTGTGAATGAGTTTGAAGTACTAGAATCTGTCTTGTTTTGAAATCAGTAAAGTAAAACTTGTAGTTTTAGAACTTCTGAAGTATTTGTTTGAATTAGCTACCTAATTAGGTATTCAAGTTATGAGTTATGCATTCTAAACTCATTATGGCAGGGTGCCTGGGTGGCTCAGTAGGTTAAGCATCTGACTCTTGATTTTGGCTCACAGTTTGTTAGATTGAGCTCTGCATCAGGCTCTATGCTAAGAGCATAGAGCCTGCTTGGGATTCTCTCTCTCCCTCTCTCTCTGTGCCTCTCCTGTTCACGTGTGCTCTCTCTCAAAAATAAACTTAAATCATTTGAAAAAATAAATTCATTATGGTTTTTCCTTCGAAAAACAAGTGAAATTTTGATTAATGTTTAATGATTTCATTCACATAAAGACATAAATTTAGTGATTTCATTTATAATAAGATTAGTTTTTGAAGCGCCTGGGTGGCTCATTCGGTTAAGCCTCTGACTTTGACTCAGGTCATGACCTCACAGCTCGTGGGTTCAAGCCCTGCATCTAGCTCTGTGCTGATGGCTCGGAGCCTGGAGCCTGCTTCTGATTCTGTGTGTCTCTCTCTCTGCCCCTCCCCTGCTCACACTCTGTGTCGCTCTCAAAAATAAGCAAACATTAAAAAATATATATAATAAGATTAATTTCTGGTGAAATCATTTAGGGGGAAGTATGTTTAAGTGAATTTTATTTTTATTTTTATTTATTTATTTTTTTTAATTTTTTTTTTCAACGTTTATTTATTTTTGGGACAGAGAGAGACAGAGCATGAACGGGGGAGGGGCAGAGAGAGAGGGAGACACAGAATCGGAAACAGGCTCCAGGTTCTGAGCCATCAGCCCAGAGCCTGACGCGGGGCTCGAACTCACGGACCGCGAGATCGTGACCTGGCTGAAGTTGGATGCCCCAGTGAATTTTATTTTTAAAACATCTGTTGAAATATACATACGCATATCAATTGATATGCATTCTAATTTAAAAACATCACAAAGTTTGGAAAGCTTGTAAAACTAGGAAATTATTTGTGTCCATTATAGTACCTTTATGATTTTATTGTAAAAAGGTAAATTTAGAAGTAAATTTAATTTTTGCATGGAAGAAGCATTTAGAGTGCTTTGTTACAGCATCCATATATAAAATCTGTTTGTAGACTAAAGTGGTAAGTTGGACTTTACTTCTTTTTTGTCTTTTTTGTTCAAAATGTGACACAAATAGGAAGGTGATACAGTTAGCATTTGAAATATCTTTCATCTTTATATGTAACCATGTTTGGGTCTTTGGTTCAAATTTGGGCTCTGTTGTCCTTCTTTCCATTAAACTCTATATGAGATTTGTAGCTTAGATTAAGGAGAGAATGGAGTTATAAAAATGGCAGACCTAGGTCCATTCTGAAAGGGTTTAAAATGTATCATTAGGTTTTAGAATTGGAAATTTTTATGATATTTGAAATTTACTTCCCTCTCTCCCTTTAAATTAGGTGCTCTGTGGATGTGTATAGTTTTAAACCCCCACTGCAAGTTGGAACAGAAAGCCAGTTGGCTAAAACAGCTGAAAAAGTGGAACAGTGTTGATGTCTGTCCATGGGAAGATGGAAATCATGGCAGTGAATTACCCAACTTAACCAATGCTTTGCCTCAGGGTGCAAATGCTAACCAAGGTGAGTCCACAGTAATATTTTGCTCACTTTATATTTGCTTAATTGTGCATATATGTTTACAACAGTAATACAGTATACGTGGGAAAATTATTTTGCCCACTAAGAATTCACAATTCAGGGACTTAGTGTTTTGACTGTGATTGTATGTATTTTAATTTTTACCTGATATCTTTGTGTATGCTTTTTCATATTATCAGAATACAAATGAATAGTGTACTTTTATGTATTAGAATGTGTTAAAATTCCCTATTAATTATTTAGCTTGAAATAATGTAAAAAAATCATGGAATAAGGAAGTAATATATTACCTTGTAAAACAAAATATTGAGAGGCTTGAGAAACTATTTTTATCTCTTTTGGTGCAACCCACTTCATATTTGGGTTGCTGTGTAATTTAATCAGTTAAAATTTGTTAATTTTAAACATAACAAACATTTATGTGACTGGGTTGGAGGGGCATGGGATGCTGTTGGCATTTAGAGTAGGAAAATTTTTTTTTTTTAATTTTTTTTTTTTTTCAACGTTTATTTATTTTTGGGACAGAGAGAGACAGAGCATGAACGGGGGAGGGGCAGAGAGAGAGGAAGACACAGAATCGGAAACAGGCTCCAGGCTCTGAGCCATCAGCCCAGAGCCTGACGCAGGGCTCGAACTCACGGACCGCGAGATCGTGACCTGGCTGAAGTCGGATGCTTAACCGACTGCGCCACCCAGGCGCCCCGGAAAATTCTTTATTATAATGCATTGTGTAACATACCTGTTCCCACATACTGTAAGCTGATAGTGCCTTCCAGTCTTTGGAACAACTAAGAGATGCTTCCAGACATTTCCAGATGTCCTCTTAAGGACCTGTATCTTTCATTTCTATGCTCTTTTTTTCAGCTTTTCCCTTTCTGTTCGATCTACCCATTTAGCTCAAGTTCCTCTCATCTTCAAAAAACAAAAACAAAAAACAACTCTTTGCTTGGCCCCATTTTCTCTTCCAGCTACTACACAATTTTCTCCTCTCTTTCAGAACCACGTCCTTACAGAAGTTAAGTCTTAACAAATAAAAATTTCATTCACTTATTTCTGTAACTATTTTTGTGTGATTTTTTGTGTCCCTGCTGCCTCTTTTGGCAGGGGAGATGTCTGGGGGCTTTGACAGACTATGACCAATGTAAAGTGGGAGTTAAATGACAATGGAAGGATCCAGAATCCACATTGTCTTTCTGTATGTGCTGGCCCCATATGGAGTTGGTACTACTGAAAGAGCTGGCCATTGTGTCAAGTGTGAATGTTACTATAGTGTTTTCAGTATCTACAGAGAAAGAAAATAAGGTCTTTTACTCCATAGGGACTTGTCTTACCAAAAAGAAGTTTTTTTTTTGTTTTTTTTTTTCAATGTTTATTTATTTTTGGGACAGAGAGAGACAGAGCATGAACGGGGGAGGGGCAGAGAGAGAGGGAGACACAGAATCAGAAACAGGCTCCAGGCTCTGAGCCATCAGCCCAGAGCCCGACGCGGGGCTCGAACTCACGGACCGCGAGATCGTGACCTGGCTGAAGTCGGACGCTTAACCGACTGCGCCACCCAGGCGCCCCCAAAAAGAAGTTTTAAGGTGTACTTGGCTGGCTCAGTTGGTAGAGCATGTGACTCTTGATCTCAGGGTTGTAAGTTTGAGCCCCATGCTGGTTGTGGAGATTGCTTTAAAATAAAATCTTTTGAAAAAAGAAGTTTTAGGACTTGGAAGAGATGCTTGTCTGCCTCAGCTTTGTCTAAAAATATTTATTTGCTTTGGGAATTCAGTATTTGAAATCTGTCATATTTTATTGCCCATGATTATGTTAATTCATAACTTCAGAGAAAATAAGTACATCCCAGTTTCTTTTCTAGAATTATGGAATTTTCAGGTTTACAATTTAGTTTTATTTTTTTCCATTTCTAGGAAACGGTATATCTATATCTATATAGGTAAATTACTTTAATCTCCTTTTACTTAACTGTTTGTTTCTCTGTGTTTCACTTCCCACCTGCTTTTTGGGACTGCCATCCTAACATTTTACAGTTTACATTTTACTTTACATTTGGTTACTTTCCCTTTGATTAAACATAAATATTCCATAGGCTTTAGAAAGCCTTTAAAAAGTGGTCCAGCCTCCAGATGAAACCGCTCATTTCCTTTATGGTTTGGTCCGGGGATATGAAGTTAGAATCTAGTTTCTAAGGGTAATATTTCTTGGGCCTAAAGGTAAAGGCACCATAGTTTCTGTTTTTAGCGGAATATCCGCATCCTGCAAGAGGCTGTCAGAAGAGACATCTCTACAGAGGGACTCTGATGTTCAGCCTGCAGTAGTGCTGGGAGTGCTGAGCAGGCTTGGTTGGGGAAAGCCAGCAGAGCCCAGCCGCCATGCCTCTGCAGCTGGGCGGAGTGTGTGCATGACGCAGACCATGAGCAGAATTGAATGTGCTGGCAGATTGGAGTGAATGTGAAGGGTGAATCAGGCCTTGTCTTCGCTAAGATTATTTGTTAGAATTAACAACAACAGTATTAAAATCCGCACTCTTTGAAAGAGTTTTTTTTTTTTTAATATACCAGAATTGTGGCCAGTTTTTTTATTTTAATTTTTTGATAAATGAGCTAATGGTTTCCTCTTTTACTTTTCTGAATTTCCCAAGTTTTCTTTAATCGACATGTATTGATATTACATATGCTTTATTAACAACTTTTTACAAATTTGTGTATTTATCATTTTGAAAATTTGGCGAATGTAATCTGTTTCTTTTTTCCATCTTGTTGCAAAAATAAAAAAAACTACATGGGGCACCTGGGTGGCTTCGTCAGTTGGGCGCCCGACTTCGGCTCAGGTCATGATCTCACAGTTGGTGGGTTCAAGCCCCACGTCGGGCTCTGTGCTGACAGCTCAGAGCCTGGAGCCTGCTTTAGATTCCGTGTCTCCTGGTCTCTCTGCCCCTCCCATGCTCATGCTCTGTCTTGCTCTGTCTCTCAATAATAAATAACGTTAAAAAAATTTTTTTTAATAAAAACAGAACTACAGATACTATAATAAAAATTGACCATAATTTTGATATTAATGAAACTAACTTTTTATCTTTGTAGCCATTGTCTTTGTACATAATCTTTATTTTATTTCCCAGGTTGTTACAGACAATGTTATATCTTACATTTTCATTTAGTTATTATTTCATTAGTATTTAGCCTTTTTTGTTAGAATTGGTTTTATTAGTCTTTTATAGCTAACCACTGTTGGAAGTGTGGTGCATTCCTGTACCTTTCACTTTGCTCATACGATCACAAACATGTGAAAAGTTAAGATTTTTGCTTTATTTATTTTTTATCTTATTTATTGTAAATGTTCCTCTTTGAGAGAGTGAGTGGGGGAGGGTCAAAGAGATGGGGGGAACAGAGGATCCTCCAAAGCAGGCTCTGCACTACTAACAGTTTGATACGGGGCTCAAACTCAAGAATTGTGAGGCCATGACCTGAGCCGAAGTCTGATGCTTAAGTGACTGAGCCACCCAAACCCCCTGAGATTTCTGCTTTTTTTAAAAAATGGAATCATACTCTACAACTTACTTTTCTTAAGTGATACCACAGTGAGCCAAATTGACAAGTAGAACTCTTAATTCTTTTAATATATGCTTTATACTAAATTGGTTTTTTAAAGGCTTGATTTAGTTTTCAATTCTCTTTCTGTGATTTGAGCTAAATAAGTGTAATGACAGAGCCACTTAAAATGTGTAAAATTTGGACTTTGGAATATTTACCCAGTTGACACTGGGTGAGAGGTCACGGAACCAGTTTTTTGTTGGGTAGGGATATCTTTACTCTGCTCAAAACAAAGCCCCAGTAGGTTCAAAGGGCCTTAAATGTAGGGCCCACTCTTCCTCTTTGCAAGGTGTTCATCTGCCCACTGGGCAGGGCCGTGACAGATATGTCACTATTTATGCCTCACGTGTTCAGTCATCATACGTTTTGATATGTCTCCCATTTAAATACAGATATCTAAGTTGACCTGAAACCAAGCTGAAGGTTTGGTAAAACTGAAGGTCTCTCTTGTGAAGACCTCGCGGAAGCCTGTCACAACAGCTGAAATAGCTGAGTTTGGAGTGTGGATATTTATGTTTTGATCTTGATGGCCATTGCCTGGCTGTGTGACCTTGGCAAGTCACTTTAATCTCTCAGTTTTCAGTTCCATCAGCAGAATAGGGGAGTTGCACCAGATGATTTTTCAGAGTGCTTCTCAATTCGGTTGTGTTTTGGTTTTTATGATTCCCTTTACATCTTTGCGGAGCCAAAGCTCCAGTTTGCTTCTCATTTAGTTAAGCTTCAGTACAGTGAGGGGTGATACTTGAGCTAAGTAAAATCTATATAAGGATAGTTTGTTTTCCTGATTATCAGTTGAGGCTTGCTAAGGTTTGTGCCACAGTTGAAGGTAAGTCTGGAGTGGGGACCCGAGGTGTGGGATTGCAGTTGCAGAATTGGAACCATGTCATCCAGAGGGACTGAATAATCCCAGGATTTAGGATGAGAATATTCTTTATTCCCCAAACATTTCTTTTCTCCGTCAGGTCCTGAAACTTGAACCCTCTTCGGAGTGTATGCTTCTGCTCTTTTGTGATGCCCCGGCATACACTATGCTGGGGACATCACACCAGTCATGGAACCTGCACAGGAGTCAGGAGGCAGCCTGTAGGGGCAAGGTAAGTGCGCTGGTTTGTTTTGTAGCTATGTTGTGTGGCTTTGTGAAATGTTAACTATATGCATTTATGCCCTTTGGGATATAAAGTGGCATTTAAGCATTATATCCCAAGAAGCATAATAGTTTTAATTGTGCAAAACCGCACAATATAGTTAAAAAATACAACCAAAAGCACAACCCTTATGCATATCTTTTAAAGGCTGATTGCATCTTCCTGAAAGGTTCCATGGCTGGTGTCGCATCTCTTGCATAGTGTTTGTGAGAGCTGTTGATCCCATCAGGGCAGCCCACCACAGCACCTCAGAAGTGGGGAGCAGTGAGTTTTCATGTGACTTTTGTGCCGAGTGCCTCCTTTGAGTGTATTTGGCATGGAAACTAGACTTGACCCTTCTTTTTGCAGGATGCCTTTAACCTTAGCTTTGATGGCTGCAGAGTGTTTGTGTTTGATAAAACAAGTGAGTGGATGGTGGCTCTTTGGGCTGACTTGCCTCCTAGTACTTAGGACACGAGAGTATTCACCCTTCATCTTTCTGCTTAGGGGGTGCAGGACAGTGTGTGTGGGTGTGTTCATGAACATCTGGCCACAGAATGGTATGACTGATTTATTCACATGTGAATAATAGCTGACACGGCTTTCTGAATTGTGGAAAAAACAGATTCATCGAACAGGCCACATCGGACAGTGTTCACCCGAGCCATCGAGGCATGCGATCTCCACTGGCAGGATAGCCACTTGCAGCACATTATCAGCAGTGACCTATACACCAACTACTGTTACCATGACGACACTGAAAACTCCCTCTTTGACTCCCGAGGGTGGCCCCTCTGGCATGGTAAGTGGCCAAACCGGAAAGACATTTCCATGACTTACTTCTTTGTTTCGTTTCTATAGCATTATTGGAGTGGGAGGTGGAGAGTTGAGGGATTCAATGGGAGAGGGATGAATGCTTGGCAGGAGGAGCTGAGTTTTGCATTCAAATCCAAGTTCAGAAATGGCTTCTTAGGTCTTTTTAATAGTATTTTGGGGAAAAACATCATACTATTTACATGCTATTTTTGTACATATATCTGACGATGACAACTTTGTCCCCTTAACTTTCTGTTTTAGAACATGTTCCTACAGCTTGTGCAAGAGTGGACGCATTACGTTCTCATGGGTACCCCAGAGAAGCCCTGAGACTAGCAATAGCTATTGTTAACACGTTAAGAAGACAGCAACAGAAACAGTTGGAAATGTTCCGGACTCAGAAAAAAGGTGAATGTGAAGGAGTTTGTTTCCAATGGAATGGGATTCTTGGTGATGACATCACTGGATTTTGTCGTCTTTTGGGGAGAGATGGCTTTTGAAATTAGGAGATGGCTTTACTCACCACTCATTTGGAATATGTAATAGCTGATCTGTGAGAAATTTGAGGCATGTTTTGTCTTGGTTAAGTGTTGTAAGAAGTAGGATTTTTAAAAACATTTCTTAGGTTAGTTAATTTTTTTAAGGGGATAATTTTGTTGTTGTTCAAGTAGTTATTTAGTGTGTCTGAATTATCAAAAATGCCAGTGAGCCAATAGCTTATTTTGTGAAAGTGCATTCTAATTCTAACAGTAAGGGGTCTGGGGGCACACTGTCCATGTTTGAATCCTAGCATTGGGTCCCAGCTAGGAGACCTTAGGCAGTAGATTCCTCATCTGTGGATGGAGCTCAGTAGAGGATCTATTTATTAGAGTTGTTGAGAAAATTAAATAAGTTAATTGCTACAAAGCTCTTAAAACAGAGCCTGGCATAATATGTAAGTACTTTAAAACTTCTTAGCTGTAACAGTTTGTGTGTCGGGACATGGTATTTGTTTAAAGTGATCAGATTTGATTTTTCAAATTCTGTAAATAACATCTGATGAGCTGCCAACTGACAGGACACATTTAACTTCTCTTTATCTTAATTTACTATTAATCTTTTAAATAAGTACTGCTGAGTAACAGTAATTTCAGAGAGTTATACTCAGAAGGCCCTGATCAGAAAAAGAAATACATATGCTTTTTCTGATTAATTAATGCACTTCTTGTTCCTTCCATAGGTTATAAATTTTTTTATGTTGCTTTGATTAGGTTTGTTTTTTCACTGTGGAGTTTTATTTCTTATTCAGACAAATACTTTTAGCTGCTAGGGGTTTTTTTTTGAGTTATGTTTTTGTTTTTAATACTTCTATGATTATACACACACCAAGGATACAGCTAAAATTTATCACAAGTTGTTGTAATAAGCTGAAAGTTGGAATGAGTGTTTGTTGTAACTTTTAATACCCTCTATATCAGAATTATTATAGATGTTAATTAACATTATCATTTATATGATGAAAGAAAATTTCAGAGTTAAAATTGTAACCAAAGAAAGGGGAGCTCAAATGAAATTGGAAGGTAATATCCCTGGCTATCATTATTTTGTTCATTTCTTCATGTTCTTCATAACATAACTGGTTACCAGATGTGTTTACAAAACATACTATTTAGATTTTTAAAAAATTTTTCTGAACTCCCTCTTCCCCTAAACACAATCTATAGCCAAAAGTAGCCACAGTCTATAGCTACTTCTGAAAAGTATAAAGGATAATAATAATTCAAGCTAAGAGAAGTGAGGCACTTTTTGTACTGCAGAAATAAAGCTAGGTCATGATGATTATCAGATTAAAAAAATCATAAACTTTTCTTAGAAATGTTGTTTTTAGGGCCACATGGATGGCTCAGTTGGTTAAGCGTTCAACTCTTGATTTCATTTTAGGTCATGATCTGTTCAGTTCAGGTCATGATCTCCACATCGGGTTCTGTGCTGACAGCATGGAGCCTGCCTAGGAATCAATCAGTCTCTCTTTCTCTCTCTCTCTCTCTCTCTCTCTCTCTCTCTCTCTCTCTCTCTCTCAATAAACCATCTTAAAAAAATGTTTTAAACAATATCTGGGGCATCTTGATGGCTTAGTCGGTTGAGCATCCATCTCTTGATTTTGGCTCAGGACATGATCCCAGGTCGTTGTGGGATCCAGCCCTGCACCGGACTCCATGCTGAGCGTGGAGCCTGCTTAGGATTCTCTCTCTTTCTCTCTCTGCTCCTCTCCCCCACTCATATACTCTCTTTCTCTCTAAAAATAAAAAATAAGTAAAGATTTTTAAAATGTTGCATTATCTAAGAAACGGAAAGTGTAAAAAATGTTAGTTTGTATAGGTAAATTAGAATATGTGTTAAGTTAGACTCCTTTAATTTGTCTTTGAGACCATTCTTAGACCCATTTCTCTTTTATCTTGTGAGCAATGATAACTTATTTCAGACTATTCTTAATTATTACTGTGATTACATTTTTATACCTATATCTTTTCTACTTTTTTTATTGGTTCATATTAAAAGAATAGCTTTTCCACAGCTGTTACAATTCCAAACTGCCATGACAGCTATTTGTTACGTGATCAAGATTAGTATATGTATATACACCTTGTACATTTTCAGTACTGTTTGGCATAATATGTCAGCTTTTTGTTGTTAATTGAGGTATAATTCACATATAACAAATTAGTTCAGGTGTACAACATAATGATTCGATATTTATGTATTTTGAAATGATCACATTTCATTTCATTTGTATTTATTTTTGAAGGAAAGAAATATAGTGTGAGTGGGTAAGGGGCAGAGAGAGAGGGAGACACAGAATCCAAAGCAGGCTCCAGGCTCTGAGCTATCAGCACAGAGCCTGACTTAGGGCTCAAACTAACGAGCCATGAGATCATGACCTGAGCTGAAGTTGGATGCTTAACCGACTGAGCCACCCACGCACCCTGACAAACTTTTTTTATGATGAGAACTTTTAAGATTTACTTTCAAATATGCAGTACAGTATTATTAATACATTTTTAAGTGTTTATTTATTTATTTTTGAAAGAAAATGAGCAGGGGAAGGGCAGAGAGAGATGGAGATAGAGGTTCCCAAGCAGGTTCAGCACTGTCAGTGCAGAGCCTCACTCAGGGCTAGAACTCAGGAACCCTGAAATCAAGAGTCGGAGGCTTAACTGACTGAGCCACCCAGGTGCCCCTGCAGTACAGTATTATTAACTGTAGTTGTCCTGCTGCACATTATATCACTATGACTTGTTCATTTTATGAATGGAAATTTGCACCTTTTGGCCCCATTCACCCATTTCACCCACACCCACCCCTGCCTCTAGCAACTACCAGTCTTTTCTCTGTATCTAGAAGCTTGGGGGTTTTTTTTAGATTCCACTTATAAGTGAGATCATACAGTATTTGTCTTTCTCTGTCTGACTTCACTTTGCTTCTTGATTTTGAAAAAAAAAAAAAAATGACACTCCTTTTTTTGTTTATTTCTCTCTTTTCTCTTTTTTCACTAATGTTTGTGTGGAAAGAAATAAGAGGAAATACTTTATAAAATTTTATGTCGTTTCCATCACTTGATAATAGATTTATTTGTGTAAGTACCACACCTCCTTTCACCATATATCACCCCCCCCATAAAACACATACATTTTGTTGTTCCAAGAGTAAACTCCTCTTTCTTTTTTCATACTGATTATGTATATGAAAAACAGTGACAGAAACTAAAGGGAAAGACCCCTCCAAGGAATATAAGACTCAACTTCTATAAATTTTCATATATTGTGCCCAGCCATGGTTTATTTTTTATGTACTGATAGTTGATGGTCTAAAACCAGAAGACTTCTAAAGGACTGTTGGATCCATGAAATGGTTCTTCAGTTATTTACAAAAAGTCAGCTTTTTTCTTGGATATTTTATCTTGTGTATAGATTTCATTATATTTTCCTCTAAGAAGGAGCTACTCTTATTTATTACTTTAGTAAACACTTGGATGTAAAATATTGCATATTTTACAACAAAGAACATATATTAGAATATTTACAGCTTTTTTCTCAGGACTATAATTTAACATAAGAACTTGAAAGTGCTACCATTCTGTTGAGAAAATGCAAAGGATATGTTTCATCCAAATTATGTTATCTTCTGCTGTAGTTCCCCTTTGTGGCAAAGATCCTCTCTTTAATGGCTTACAGATCCATGATAATGAGGACTTTCATAGGTGCTAGGGTAGTAATTAAATGATACCCATAGAGAAGTCCCAAGTCGGACCCAGGTTGCCACTGCCATCTAGTCTCCCGTGTAGGTGACCCAGTGAACATTGACTTTGATGTATCTTCTTAATATAGTTATCCAGTATAATTCCAGGGAGACTTCTTAGTCTTCTCTAATGCCACTCTTGGGGAAGTAAGGGGAGTTGTTCCTCACTTCTCAGTAAAAATTTGGAACTCATTTTTCCTCATATAACATAATTTAATAGTATAAGTGGTAATGTTAACCCAGTACCTTGGACACACAGGCCTGTCCTCGAAAGCTGGCACCATTTATATGGATTTACAGATAAACTTTGAGAACACCAAATTGTTCACATGTTGGGTATTATGTGTACGATCGTTTTTTTAATTAAATAAGAATTGCCAGTGGAATTCAGGACTAATTTGTTAGGATGCCACTATTAAAAGCATCTCTTCCTCTACTTGTCTCCATCCCTCAATTTTCTTTTCTTATACAGAGCTACCCCATAAAAGCCTCACCTTGATAACCAATCTGGAGGGCTGGGTTGGACACCCCCTGGACCCTGTGGGCACTCTTTTTAGCAGCCTTATGGAAGCTTGCCGAATTGATGATGAAAGCTTCTCTGGGTTCTCCGATTTTACAGGTAACACTGTTGGCATTGTCTCCTGTGCTTTTTTTCCCCTAAACCTTGAGTGGCATTGGTCAGTGTTTCTTGTCACAGTTGGTTTTGTGAATCTGTATGGTTAGTAGTACAAGGGAGCAAGGAAATGGGCATTCCCATGGTTTTATGGAAAACTTAACACGCTGAGAAAAATCTTCGAATCCACAGTTGGGCGCATGTGTTAACCTTAGAAATACGTATTTTCTTCTAGCTAGTGATTCTGCATCTTAAGAATTTATGACTGTTTTCCAGCGTTAAGATTTAAGATAAAGATGTATATCCTAGCATTGGGAACTAGAAATTTGGTTACTTTTTAAATTTGTTTTTGCCTTAGAAGTTACTTGTGACTTAAATGGGTTGTAGTCTACTTTAAGAGGATTATCTAATGTCACTAAAAGTGTTTTACATCACACGTTATTTTATTTTATTAAGTTCATTTATTTATTTTGAGACAGAGGGCAAGTGGGGGAGGGGCGCAGAGAAAGAGAGAGAGGGAGACAGACAGACAGAGGACCCCAAGTGGGCTCTGTGCTGACAGCAAGAGAGCCCACGCGGGGCTTGAAGTCTCAGACTATAAGATCATGACATGAGCCGAAGTCAGACACTTACCCAACTGAGCCACCCAGGCTCCCCTACATCACACATTCCGTTAAAGCATGTTTTGAGATTTCTCTCTGGCCTCTTGAAACTTAAGAATCAGCGTTAAAATAACTGCCTGTGGGCTGTGGACAGAGGTGTGGCAGGGAGGGAGTACTGTCCCTTTTCTGCTCTCATGAATGGGTGAACACCGAGGATTAATAATGTTGTCCCTCCACAATTTCCCCTGTGGTGTTTGCCTTCATGGATTATGGGTGCCCCAGACTCTGTCAGGACGGTGAAAGCTATGACTCTGAATTCATTTTCCTTGGGAGTCTGATGGTTGAAGTTGGTTAAAATTTCTCATAGAAGTGCTTCAGCAGAGATAAGAGAATGCTCAAAGAATCGTTCCTCTTGATAACTGATATGACTCTTTGATAGCAGAAAGGACCTTGAAATTGGTTAGTATGTTGTGTTCTCTAATTTCTTCATTAAATTCCAATATTGTGATAACACTTTGGAAACAACTTCTTTTTTAATGCCGGGCTTTAAAGAGTTGGTAACTATGGCAGTCATTATATAAGTTTACTCTTGTTTAAGTAAAGTTTTTTTTTGTTTTTTTGTTTTTGTTTTTTTTGGGTTTTTTTTTACTCTTTAGTATTCTTAAGATCTCTTCTTAGATTTGTAGGGTTTTTTGGTGATTCATTTTCAGTGGGAGGAAAATATTTGTAATATTCTGTCCCTTAAAACATACATATCTAGTCATTCATGGTCATTTTTTAAAAGATCTAGAAAACTACGCACTTTAACGTAAGAAACGTATTTTCTATTTTTCTTGGAATAAAGTCAACGATTCATTTAATGGTCCTGGGTAAAATAAATATTTATACCTATCAGTACCTGCAAAAGTAGTATCTGAACTCTGCTTTCTTTTGTGACATTTTACAGAGAATACGGGACAGTGCAAGTCTCTGGAATACCAGCATCTCCCTGCACACAAATTCTTAGAAGAGGGGGAATCCTATTTAACACTAGCTGTGGAAGTCGCCCTGATAGGGCTGGGACAGCAGCGTATCATGCCTGACGGGCTGTACACACAAGAGAAGGTTTGCCGGAATGAGGAGCAGCTCATTTCCAAGCTTCAGGAAATTGAATTGGATGACACACTGGTGAAAATTTTTCGCAAGCAAGCAGTCTTCCTATTAGAAGGTAGTGTGATAAAGAAGTTTTCCGCTTGTTCTGCCAATTTTATTGAGGCACTAAGCTTTCTTATGTTGGGAATACTGTTTTTATGCATTCAGTATGGTAGTTACTCTGATTGGTATGGCCACTGAATGTCACAGGAATGTTTACTATCCAAAAAATAATATCACTTAATCAAAAAGTACTGATGTTCACTTGTATGTCATTTGATATAAGTGGTGATGTGAGATAGCCTGTTAGAAATGAGCCCCTTTTAATGCCACAAACCTTGAAAAGGACTGTCACTATTTAGTCTATGTTGTTACTGAGATAAATGTTAAGTTTGATATTTTGTGAGTTCTTGCTGGTAGCCATGTACCTATTTACTTGATCACTTAAATAATGAAATGGAAATTCATCGGCATTCCTCTGAATTATTATTTTGGCTTTTACATGACATCTGGGTTTTGAGTATGTTGTTTTGCATGTGTTAGCAAAGGACTTGGAGGCTCCAGGAATGAATTACCACTCGCTCATTCTTTCAGAGAATTCATTAAGCGTAGATTCACCAAGTTCAAAGTTTCATGGACTTTCTAAGGCAGTCTTAATTCTCTTCTTTTTATAAGGTCAAGAGCTGAATGGCCTAAGAAATTTTGGCTGGCATTATTTTTAAAAAGTTTTTTTTCTTTGTTTTGTTTTTTTTCTGGAAAAGAGTAAGTGTAATTTGTATACTAGCCTAATCTTTTATGCAAATTTCGGTGATGCCTATTGGGTAAAGTTGCTTCTATATCTCAAGTACATGGGTATTATTATTGTGGGATTGTCTGTGATTGATAGATGAGTAAAGTGTGGTGTTCTCATCATATATTTAGAACTGTTGCATACAGGGAAAGGATTTAGAGAAAGTAACATTTCACTGCCTTTTATTTGTCCAAAGCTAAAGATCTCTTTGAAAGAAAAACCTTTATCAAATATATTACAGTATCATACATTTGTGTGTTTTATAAGTGTATTTTAAAGGGAAAATGTTCTTAATAACAAGAGTAATTTTGGTAAAATTCTTGATAGTAATTTTTTGAAGCACTCTCCTTAACTTTTTTTTTTTCTTCTAAAGATTAAAAAAAGCCAACTTGGCAAATTTCAGGTGATCTTCATTCTTTTATTACTGTTTTGTTTTAGTTCCCTCCTGTTTAATTCCTTTTGATACAAGCAGTACCATTAGCCACAAACTTTTATGTTGTCATTGGCTCTTAGTAACTGAGTTTTGATTTCCATTATACTGAAGGACAGGAAGAGAATGTGTGCTTTTTAGAGAGTTGATAGTGTCTTATACCTGTTTATCATTTGCCTTTTTAAATGTCTCCATGTTCATTACTCATGAATATTTTAAAACTTTTTCTTAGCTTTTGATTAGCGCATCCCTCCCTGTTAAACATTTTTTTTAAAGAACTGTGCCTGCTAAGGAATGCTGTTGATTCATCACAGCTTCCTTTACTTTCCTGATCCTGCTAGGACTGTAAAGAATGGGTAGTGCAGGACGGGAAGCAGTCTAAGGGGAAGCCAAGGGACCATTTCTGTAAACTCCTGAAAATAAGCACTCCGTGACTGAGTTCACTGCACTGGGGCATCAGTTCTTCTTACAGTTTCTTTGTAAATTTCAGGAGCATAGTAGTTAGCAGACACTAACTATTCTGAAATAAAAGATGCTAACTTTTTCTGAAAAAGAAACAGTAGTAACCCTGTATTGTTGCTGCGTGTTGATCGCTTTTGACCACAATGCAATATTGGCACATTGGGCCAATTGACATAATGGTAAAGCACTTCTGGGAGTTCAGGGATTACACTGATTATTCATCTACAAATAATTCTGAATAATCGGCCGAATGTTTTTCTTGTTGGGAGGTATCATAACAAGAAGTGTTGATTATGTATCCTGGCCTGTTTTGCATAGCACAAAAAGGTAACTTGATGATTTAAGGGAAACATTAAAAGGAAATGGAGGAGAAATGAAGAAAATAGATAGTCTACAAGTTTGCTATAACTAGGCCTTAAGTAGAGTTAGTGTCTTAGTCTTCCCAGGCTGCCATAGCAAAATACTGCAGAGTGGGTGGCTTAAGCAATAGAAATTTCACACAATTCTGGAGGCTGGGAAGTCCAGGGCCAAAGTGCTCGATAATTAAATTTCTGGTGAGCCCTCTCTTCCTGTCTTGTATATGTCTGTCTTCTTGTACTCTCACAAGCAGAAGGGTAGAAAGAGAAAGAGAACTCTTTGATATCTGTTCTTATAAGGACACTAATCCTATTGGATCAGGGCCATACCCTATGAACCCATTTAACCTTCATTACCTCTGTAAAGGCCTTATGTCCAAGTATAGTTCACCTTGGGAGTTGGGGCTTCTGCATATGAATTGGGGTGGGGAATATAAACTTTCAGTCCATAATAATAATTTAAATAGTTTGGCCTCATTATTTAAACTAAAGGCAGAACGATAATGCTATATCAACTTTTGCAGAATATTTTTAAATGTCTTAAACGTAAAAGAAAGGTCATGGATTTGGTAAAATTAGAACTCTAGGGTGGATTTTAGTTTGCCTAGGTAAAAAAACAAATTTTTATGAGAATACGATTTTCAAAGTCCTTAAATAATGAACAGTTCAAAAATACTAACCAAAAAATACAGAAATGTTAAAATAATCTCTATTAAAATTATCTGTGCCCAATTCCAACTCTTCACACCATTTCTTCTGAACTGACATTTCTTGCATTCTAAACTCTTCGCCAGACTGATTTTTCTCATGGAAAACAAATGTATTATGTCCTTTGAGCAGTAGTGTCATGGTTCATAATTCTAGAAATCATTAAACAAATGTTACCCAAAGGTGACATGGAAACTAATTTATTAAACACTTTACAGTAACTAAACCTCAAAGTACCTAAGTGGAAAGTAGTTGAACTAACCACTGTGGTTTCCTTTCAAAATTTATTTTAAAATTTGGTATTGCCTTTCTTCGGGCAGCGTTCAGAGAGCTCACAAGGGAAGTTAGTTCTGTCACCATGCCTGTCATAACCTACTAAGAAATGAGTTTTGACAGCTTAAATGTAATTTTACTTTTGAAATTGGTCTTTTGGAGCCCTCAAAGTAGTAGATTTCCAGTTACTTTAATTTTTTTTTCTTTTGCCTGTGGTGAGTATCAAATGGATTACTAACTATTCTTTTATTATTAATCACTTTCCGAGAATTAATACCTATTTCTGCTTATTAGAAGCAACTGTGTTTAAAGTCTTTGCATTGGGATTTGTGGTTTAAGAGTCCTCCCTTGAGGCGAAGCACTCTTTTCTGGAAACCTGACTTGTCCATGCCCACAAGACTGATGGGGTCCGGGGGCAAGTTCCACAGTTAAGCTGCACAGTCGTCTGTGCGTTTGCAAATCTGGATGCTCAGATGTCACACAGTGAGAAAGGATGTCTCTTGAATTCAGTGAGATTTTATGCTTCAGAGGGTTTCTTTCTCTGAAGCAGTTATAATATGAAAAAGCTCTGCCCCTTAGTTCTGTGATTCTCATTTTCGCTATGGTACAGTTAGTTGGGGACTGTTCCTGAAGTGATTGGATACTGGATACTACACCCTGTGGAATCATTTTTGACTAAGAATTGTATTTCTTTCTACTATGTCACTTTGGTTACATTCTTAACTAGAATAGCTTGTATATGTCATAACGTTACATAAAAATTTTTAAAAATATACTTTACAAGAAGTCTTAGTTCCTTTTTTAGGAATGTAAAATGTGTATGCTCTCTTCCCACAGCCGGACCATATAGTGGTTTAGGCGAAATAATCCATCGGGAGAGCGTTCCAATGCACACATTTGCCAAGTATCTCTTCACCTCTCTCCTACCTCATGATGCTGAATTGGCATACAAAATTGCACTGAGAGCAATGCGGTACGTATTCACAGCCCAGTCGGGCAGAGGCAATCCAAATTCCCCACTGGGAAAAAAATGGCTGTTAACTGACTTCTCATTCGTTCATATCTCTTGTAGGCAGCAGCAAAGCTAAAGAAACTATTTATGCTTCTTGGATTGTTGTAGTGGTGGTTTGTTTGTTGGTTTATTTGGCTTTTTATTTTACAGTAAAGGAAGAATTGTCTCCTAGACTGCTATCATACTTGTGCTCATGGTGGCTTTTTCTTACTTTTCTTGAAGCTAGAATTTGGGAATTAAAGAACAATTTTAGGCCAAGTTTAATCACAAGGGAGCAACAGTTGAAACCTTCCTAATTAGTTAATTGTTTTGAAAATATTAGATTTTGAAACAGTGGTAAATAATAAGTTTACTTGACTGAATGTAATAACTGAGGGAGCCCTTCACACCAGCTGCATCAATAGTGTAGGGAAGGCCATAGTATCGCTGAAACCCCTTTGTGCTCACCTGGAGCTTAAGGGAGGATGAGGCCTGGTGACTAGGGTTGAAGGCAGCACTATTAGGCATTTTCCAGGACCTGCTCTCCTCAGTCTGACTACTTCCGTCTCCTCCCCAGCCCTCCCTTTCATGAATGATAATTAGATTATGTTGTTCTCTGCCACTGACCTTCCTATTTTCACTTTCCTTTTTATTTATTCTGAAAAATTTTTTTAGAGAGAGTGCACAAGAGGGGTAACGGGGGTGGAGGGGCAAAGGGGGAGAGAGAGAATCCCAAGCAGACTCCCCACTCAGCACGGAGCCCAGCACAGGGCTGGATTCCATGACCCTGGAATCATGAACCGAGCCAAAATCAAGAGTCGGATGCTCGACTGGCTGAGTTGCTCAGGTGCCCCTTCACTTTACTTTTTAAAGTCTGTTCATCAAATATTTTTTACCATGAATTTGTCTAGGTGAATATTTTTTAATGAATTCAAGATTATGTTTTTTAATCTTAACTGTTGCCTATTAAACGTTAAGGACCTGAAAGGCATATCTCCTTTTCTTAAAATATGAGATTTTTCCTTTTTTAAATAATTAAAACATTCCTGTCTTAAAGTGCAGATTAGACTTAGTTATAGTCACCAAAGAAAGACAGACCATGTACACACACGCCTAAGAGTTTGAGGTGCTGGGGAGTAGTTTGGTCCCGTAGAATCTTTTCATCAAAGTTTCTGTGTCCGGAAACATTGTAGTGGATTCGAAAGAAATTCTTGCCTGTGTGAGGGCAGCTTACATCTTTCAGGAGGCCTCTTTTTTTATGCAGTGAGTGTGCGTGCTTGTGTGTGTGTGTGTGTGTGTGTGTGTGTGTGTGTGTGTGTGTACCTACCTGTGTGCCCATGTGTATTGAGTCTGACGTCTTTTAACTTGGTATTCTTTCCTTGGCGCCATGAAATCTGTTTAACCTGTCAGAGAAACCTTGTTGAGTTCTCTCTTATCTAATTTTTAAAATGTCCCCAGATCAATTAATAACTAACATAAGCAGAAATCCCCCCACCAAATTACTTTATACCCCTTGGTCTATTTTAGGGCACAGTTTTGTAAGTTTTTATTCCCATTTTTGGAAGCTGAAATAGAAGTTGTCAGACGAAGACAGATGCTTAGCTCTATGCTTCCATAAATCTTAAGAATTTTGCTCCTGTTTGAAAGGGAAGAATGCTAATGTTATATGATTGCTAGGACCACTGTAAAGTTGAGGGGTCAAATAAAAGGTTTCTCTGTGATTCTAGCTTATGGGAAGGTATCTGTCAGGTAGAAAGGCTTGCTTTGTAACACTCACAAACTCACTGATGTCTGTCCTTGGTTGCTGCCAAGGCAGTTTGTTTATGGAGGATATTAGTAGGGCCCTGGGGGATTGTTTTCCAACCTTTTCTTCTACTTGCCACTGGTCCTGCTAAAAGACTGCTGTGGAAGGGAGGTAGTGTGACCTACTAGAGCCTCTCAAGGCAGCCAGGGCAACAGGAAAGAAAAGAGACCTGTAGCTTACTTGCTTCTTCGTCCTTGTGGAAGTGAGAGAAGGGTGGGAGAGCGGGAAAAGGGTGTTTTTAGCACTCATTTTCTCATCCTTTTAGCATATTGACCAGTTTCCTCTACAGCAACTCTGGAATGATCTGCCTGTGAACACAGGGGCATTCTAGGTTTTTTGAAAAGTTAAATAGCAACTCCACCAAAATTCTTCTTACTTAATAGCTTACCTTGCCACTCTTTAATGCTCACATCTCTTTGTCCCTAGATAAAAGGAAATGAAAGTGAGGCATTTGGCTTAGCAGAGCAGTAACTGCTCTTGGGTGAGGCCCCAAGGCCAGCCTCACACCCTTTGGTCTTCAGCTCTTATTCCATAGTCCCTAACACTGGTATACCTGAATTAAGGTCAGCGTTTTGATGATTGTAAAGGAATAATTGCAGTTGTAGCTACTCTGCTTATCTCTTTGGTACTTCTATCTGGAAGAGATTGCTAAGCACGTGCTTTGTTTTCCAATAATTGTTCTTTATTTGTCAACATATTCTCAGTCAAACATAGACTGATTGAAATTAGAGATCTCACTGAATTTATGCAAGACTGTCAAAGGACAAATACTTGGATCATTTGCATTCATCATCTCTGATAGGATTGATAGAACATATTCTAACTACAAATTCCTGAAGTAATAAGGAACTAATTCTGCAGGAAGCATGAGTTTATTTTTTGTCTAACTTCCCCTCTTATGTTGTGTTTTAATGAGTTAGCTTATCCATTTCAGCTATCCACTGATCCCTGACCGTTGCAAGCTCAGTCTTAAATGTTCACCTGACTATCAGTTTCTGTTGATTCTTATTTTTTTAATGAGTGATAAGATTCAAAAATTTTAAAGTAGGTAAACATCGAGCCTTGTGTTTCAGATCTCTTCATTGCTATATATCTTCATTTCCTTGAATAATTGCAATTTTTTGAATGATGCTAAGGAAAAGAAATCTCTTAAGTTTGGGTAATGAGCAATTAACAAGGTGACTTTGGCATCCAGATAGCAGAGTGTAGCTGTACCAGCTCTTCTTGCACCAAGGACCTGAGCAGTTTCTCCCAGCATCTACCCATTCATCTGCTTTCTGACCAGACCCTGTGGCCAAGGTGATGGACCAGGAATAACTGGGAGCCAACTGCCTTGTCTTCTCATTACAGGTTACTAGTATTGGAATCTACTGCTCCAACTGGAGACCTCACCCGCCCACACCATATTGCGTCAGTTGTTCCCAACCGATATCCTCGTTGGTTCACTCTAAGCCACATAGAATCCCAGCAGTGTGAGCTGGCATCCACCATGCTAACTGCAGCCAAAGGTATTGGATTGTCCTGAGACTTCATGGTTAAATAGTTTGCCTTTTTTATTTAAACGGTCATGTTTTCCATCCACTTCTCAGTAGTGGTGCTAATGTCTGGTTGTAAGGACATTAGCTTATAAGGTAAAACAAGTGCTACTCACTTGAACCTGACGTTTTCCTCTTTTAATTGCATCATTAAACTCGGTGCTGACAGAGTTTAGGTTTAGTGTCATGCCATGTAAATGTAGGTTTAGTGTCATGCCATGTAAATGTGGTTCAGGTTCAGAAGCAGATTAAAATGTTAGGTGACATATTTTTTTTTCTCCCTGAAATATTCACCAAAAATATGTAAGTAGGAACTAAGGAGGGTTTTTTACTATCTCATGTTCATTCCGGTTAATTTTGTGCCTTTGTTACTGAGGATGTGTCTCCGTGTATCTTTGTGAAGCGGAGATTCATAGGCATGTAACTCTGGAACACTTAGTTGTAGTGACATCTGTGCCATATGTGAACATTTCAGGTAAATTAACTTGCGCTTTATGTTTTGTTTTGTTTCCTTTTTTCCCTCCCTCTTGTGTGTGTGTATATGTATGTGGTTGTATGATTTGTTTTGTTTTGCTTTGGTTTGGTTTTCCCATGTTCGTTGCAGGCGACGTTCGGAGGCTGGAAACAGTATTAGAATCCATCCAGAAAAACATTCACTCCTCATCCCACATCTTCAAGCTTGCCCAAGATGCATTTAAAATAGCAACTCTCATGGACAGTTTGCCAGACATCACTCTTTTGAAAGTGTCTCTGGAGCTGGGCCTGCAGGTACATGACTGGTGGTCTTTCCTGGGGCACCACGAACTGCTAAATAAAGGCATCATCTTAGGGTTGTTTCTGTTTGGATATTTTAGTGCAGGCAAATGACTCTTCAATGCACAAAATGGTTAGGCTTTAGAAGAGCACTGTATTTCAGAGCTATGCTCATTGCCAGCTGAACCAGACTGCTGCCTGAGGTGCAGGGATTGTACTTTTAGAAACCCTGTATGTGTCCTTCAATAACAAAGGTCATTTTCTGAATTATGGCCTTAACACCGCTGTTTGTCCTTTAATGAATAGAGGAGATTGTTGCTAGTAAGAGACTTAAATAGAACTATCGTGTATAATAAAGAATCAGTTGTGGGGTTAAATTTTTAGAGGAAGTATGAATATTTATTGATGTTTGCATTTTCATTATAGATGGGCAGTTCTAGCTCCTTTTTATAACCTTGAGAAAATTAGGTAAAGGAGGAATGATTGGGCCAGGGTCCAGTTCCAGTATTCCGGCAGGCTTTCTTAGTCATACAAATGGGTGTTTGCTTCCTTATAGTTTCTAAAAAAAATTCCTATATAAACCAGGAACTGAAAAGTTTAAACTTTGATCTGTCTCAGGAAATCTCTCCATTAAAATATATACCATATATACCATTAAAAGCATTGAAAGAAATTATTACATAATTACCTTAAGTATGGGGAGTAGAATGTCCTGATCAGATGATTAATGTAGATTTTTAGTTACGGAGTCTCCTCATGATGGTTAATAAAGTTTAAAGACTTAGATTACAGGAAAATGTACTCACCCTATATAGTAGTGTCCAAGTAGAGGGTAGAGAGGATTGCTGCTATACAATGACATTTTAGAAGTTTCTTTTTAAAAATAAATTTGTGCTCTCTGGCTTATTTTTGTTATCATTTGCCTCTTTAAGGAATGATGCAGAAAGTACCATTAACACAAGCTTTCTGGTTATTTGGAATTCTGGCAGGTTTTTTTGGATAAATCTGGCAGATCACTTAGAACTTAACCCCTGCCTTATTCTTTCTAGGACCCAAGAAGAAATCCCACAATGCCTTTCTAAGGCTTTAGGCATGTCATTCCCCAGATGTTCTAAATCTTAAAGGGTGGGGGAAGTAGGAAGAGGTGGATCAACTTATTTTAGGATCTTATTAGAAAGTAAAAAACAAAATCAGATGACTAATGATGCCAAAAAATGATTTCTTTCCGTAGACCTAGGCATATCTTCTTGATCACCAGAAAAAAGAACACCCAGATTTTCAAGGAGTAACTAAAATGATTATTTTAAAATACCTGTTTGTCCACTGAGAGGTCCTAGTCAGAATTAGTTCATGAAGAGCCTCAGAAATCTAGAATCAGAGAATATGTTAAAGCTGTGGAGGAGGTGAGGGCATGGACTGTGCTTAATCCTGCAGTCCAGCGCTCTGGTTTTGCAGATGAGAAAAGTGATAATTGAACAACTGGCCCAGGATGCCGCATCTGGTCAGTCGGCCGATTTGGAGTAGAATGTGGGCCCCCTGCTTCCTAGGCAAGGTCAAGGCCAGCTAGGGAAGCCATGGTCGAATCTAAATTGATGTGCAGAACTTTGCTCTAAATATGGCTCTCCATCCTCCTAGTCATAGGGAATACTCCTAGTAGTTTATACCTTGGGATGAATTATTTCCTTTTTCCATTGACTTAGGGTCATCTTCTGAAATATTTTGTTATCCTGTGTTTATAGGTTATGCGAATGACACTGTCCACCTTAAATTGGCGACGGCGGGAGATGGTGAGGTGGCTGGTGACGTGTGCTACTGAAGTGGGTAGGTAAACTCTGGAGAAGGAGAAACTTTCCCCAGTGCCTCCTGGTTGGATTTAACTCATCATTTATAAATACAAGAATGTTTTTCCTCTTTTACCTGGATTTCTCGAAGGCTCCTTGTTCCTTCTAGCAACCCACAGGGTCTTCCTTTCCTCCAACCCCTGCCTCCAGCCTTTAGTTGTACTGTTCCTCTTCTCAACTATCACATTTGTGAGGCTTCATACTCCTGTTTAAAATTGAATAAGTCACTGAGTAAATACTTTTTGTTCATTTCTGTCATTCTTAAGGTGCTTTTAGTAACTTTTTGTGATAATCAGGCCTATGGTTGTTTCTTTAAGTTTTAATTTGTATTTATTTTGAGCGAGCTAAAGAGTGAGCAGGGAAAGGGCAGAGAGAGAGAGAGAGAGAGAGAGAGAGAGAGAGAGAGAGAGAAAATCCCAAGCAGGTTCCATGCTGCCAGCACAGCCCGATGTGGGGCTGGAATTCATGAACTGTGAGATCATTATCAGGTTTATAGTTTTATATTCAAGAGTTGCAGAGTGAATCCTTGGTAGGTTGGAAACCACATTTGAAACTAACTTGAGACTGTGGGTTAGTGGTTAGATCCATTTTAATTAAAATAATATAAAGTTATCTAGGTGTGCTGAGATTTTTCTTTATCATCTGAGGGCATATGTCATCATATCCAACAGATAAATGACAGTGTGGGTTAGGTGAGCTTTCGGGTATGTGAAACTTATAAGAAGATCCTCCTGGTTGCCCATAATCTGCAATTTGTGAGACCATCAACCGTTTCCCCTCTGTTGCGGTAAATCAGTACTAAAGAAAATTAGATTTCCAGTAGGAATGTCAACAAACAAAATGGTGGCTGCTTTAAATGAGTGTTGGTTAAATTGTTTTCCTGTTTGCATGAGAAAAGGGTATATACCCCTCTTGCTGAGAGGACACTGCCACCTGAGTTTTTAGATATTGTAAAATCATTCTTCTTGGTTTTTTCTTTTATTAATCTTTTTTTTTTTTTTTTTTTTTTAATTTTTTTTTCAACATTTATTTATTTTTGGGACAGAGAGAGACAGAGCATGAACGGGGGAGGGGCAGAGAGAGAGGGAGACACAGAATCGGAAACAGGCTCCAGGCTCTGAGCCATCAGCCCAAAGCCTGACGCGGGGCTCGAACTCACGGACCGCGAGATCGTGACCCGGCTGAAGTCGGACGCTTAACCGACTGCGCCACCCAGGCGCCCCTTCTTTTATTAATCTTAATGGTTTGTTACTTTGGAAAAAAGGAAATTGGTCTCAGTATAAAAATTGTATCATTAGATTGTTGAGGTGATGCTTTAGTGCAGCATTACAAAAGTAATACTGGTTGGAGAACTGCTAATACAACTTCCGTACTCCTAATTCTCTTTTGAGTTTTAGTACCTTGTCTTCAGATCACTCGCAGTTAAGATTTTCTTATGGCTCAGCCACATTGGGTCTCTGCCCTTAAAACGGTTATGTTATAAAGATCTTGTCAGACATTCCAACATCTGAGTCACCTGTAGGTCTGCTTCTGTTGACGTTTTTCTCTTGATGACAGATCATATTTTTCTGCTTCTTTGTGTGTCTTAATCATTTTGTATTGTGTGTACTTTAAACTATATACAAACACACACCCTCCATAAAAACTTTCTCTTTTGGTGAGAGTGGTCATTTTTTTCTGACTCAGATTCTGTGGTGGATAACTGACAGGAGGCCCCAGTGAACCAGAACTCATTAGCAATAAGCCATTTTCTGAAATGGCAAGCAGTGCAGTGCACATACCAGCTACCGAGGAAGTTTATTATGGGAAATTCATGTTTCTTTTAGGTATTTCACTGAATAATAATCTGTCATAACCTTATTCTAAAAGGTTGCACCCAGGCACATTACCTTCCAGGATTTCATGGCCTAGCTCACGTCCTGTGATGGTTAACCATGTAAACGTTGATTGTTAGGTGGAAATAAGGCAAGACCTCTGTGCAGCCTCCTCGTCAGTAATAGGGCTTCTCTGTGTTCCTTGAAGGTGTCTATGCCCTGGACAGCATCATGCAGAGCTGGTTTACGCTCTTTACTCCCACTGAGGCCACAAGTATAGTTGCAACCACCGTGATGTCCAACAGCACCATCGTTCGCCTCCATCTGGACTGCCACCAGCAGGAAAAGCTGGCCAGCAGTGCCCGGACACTTGCATTGCAGTGTGCCATGAAGGACCCTCAGAACTGTGCCCTCTCCGCGCTGACCCTGTGCGAAAAGGATCACATAGCTTTTGAGACGGCGTACCAAATTGTTCTAGACGCTGCTACGACCGGCATGAGCTACACCCAGCTCTTTACGATAGCACGGTACATGGAACACCGCGGGTACCCCATGAGGGCCTACAAGCTGGCCACCCTGGCCATGACCCATCTCAACCTGAGCTACAATCAGGATACACACCCTGCCATTAATGACGTTTTGTGGGCCTGTGCGCTCAGCCACTCCCTTGGTAAAAATGAGCTTGCAGCTATAATACCTCTGGTGGTCAAGAGTGTCAAGTGTGCAACGGTACTGTCAGACATTTTGCGCAGATGCACTCTGACCACTCCTGGCATGGTGGGACTTCACGGAAGGAGGAACTCTGGTAAGCTCATGTCACTGGACAAAGCCCCCTTGAGGCAGCTCTTGGATGCCACAATTGGGGCCTACATCAACACGACGCACTCAAGACTCACGCACATCAGTCCTCGGCACTATAGTGAGTTTATAGAGTTCCTCAGCAAGGCCCGAGAGACCTTCTTAATGGCGCACGATGGACACATTCAGTTTACACAGTTTATCGACAACCTGAAACAAATCTACAAAGGCAAAAAGAAACTGATGATGTTGGTTCGGGAGAGGTTTGGTTGATAGAACTTGTATGAATGGGGGTGGGGGGTGGGAAGGGAGGGATGGTTTGTTTTTACTTGAGCCTGCCTTTGTACCCTTTTTAACTTAAAGAACAGAGCCACACCGGTATTATATGTGTATAGTTATATTGCGTTTGCAGACTAAATTGTCATGTTGTGAAAGTTTGTGTGTTTTTTAATTTTTTTCCCTTTTTCTTACTTTTTTTCCTTTCCTTTTATTTTATTATAATTTTTAATTTTTTTCTTTTGGTTTTGTATGAGAGAGAGGTTAAAAAGGTTTGGTTTACACTGAGTATATGTTGTCAAGTGGCGAAAGTCCACATAGCTCTCCTGTTTTCTGTATACGTTCACAGCCTCAAAAAAAAAAAAAAAAATAATTGAAATGGCTTTAAAAACCAAACAGAACACCTCCATCCTGTGATAAGTACCTCGAATGGATTCAGCTTTACTCCTTTGTAACTCATCTTTACATTTTCAGCATATTTAAACAAACCAACAAAATGAAATACTAATAGTTAAAAGGCTGACCCACGTGGCTTTGCAGTGCTGTTCGTCCGGAAGCATGGCACACGATGCTTGTGCATGTGGAAACTTAGCGACTGTCAACATACATTCTCAGGGATTTATCAAAAAAAAAATTAAAAAAAGAATGAGAGCATTTATTGTACTGTATATATATTATAGTATATGTCTGAATATTGAAAATATAACATGAACTAATTTATAAAAAATATTCTATGTAATGCAAAATACTTGAAGCTGCAGTAGCTTGGTTTTAAACAAAAACAAAAAAACTGAGAGAAAACCTATCAGAAGGACTAAAAGAGTGCGCCTTGCTTCAGGGTTGGCTCAGGCGGTGAACTTCATGCTGGGCATCTATGCAGAGCCACCTTTTGGATTGCATGGTTGGACTGCGATCTATTGGGAGAAATGATATATGTATATATATTTATACAGTTTATGTATACATATATATATGTATACACAGAGACACCAGACACAAACACACCACCACCAACAACCACTACACCACACATGCTTGTAACAGGCACTAGAATAAAGAGGGACAACAAAATACACAGCCAGAGCAGCAAGCCTTAGCATTAAGAATATACAGTATGCCGGAACTGGGGTTCGTGCCTCCTAGCCTAGGAAACTTAAAAGAAATATCCTTTTGACACGAAACGCAAAATGTTTTCCAAAACAATTGACATATGATACAACGCCTTTGCAGTGAGCTAATAATAAGCTAACCTTTGTGCACAAATAACATTATATATATTATATATCTATTCTGCATAGGTATTTTGACTTTGTGCAGGACAGAAAGTTGTGTAGGTATGACTGTTCTACTTTTCAGTTTTCTTTCTTTTTTTTTTTTAAATATATTTTATTTTCTCTAGAATTACTCAAAACAAAAGCAGCCTTCTATCTTGCCTTGTCTTAATGCTTTAAAATAACCAAACTGGAGATCTAACTACCAAACTGTTCATTATATTATTAAATACCAACTTTGGTTACAGTATAGTGTCTTTACTTTAGCTGATGGTTCTGTAACCTTGTGCTTTTTAAAGCAATTTTTATGTTTTGGTGCAAAAGTTGTCCAGTGTCTCCTGTTCCCTTCATTAGAGAACATGCTAGAGGTATGTTTGTAGGTATTTTTGTTTAGAAGAACTATTTCATGCGCTCCATTTTATTTATTATAATAGGTAAAAAGAAAAAAAAAAGGTTGTACTTCATCACCCATGTAAACATGCTCATGAAGTTGAAAGTAATTAAGATTTGATACACTGATATCAATTTATTTATGTAACTAAATCACTGTTTTATAAACTTGTTAATGATCAACAATTTTTGTTTTGATTAAAATTAGTTTTTTGAAAGTTGATTCTGCCTCCTTTATGGTATATCTCGTATTACGCTTGAATTTGGTGATTATAGACCAGGATATTACCACATCTCCAAGTGTTTAATACTATGTTCATTCATCCAGTAAATATTTCTGTACTATTTTCTGGGCCCTGGAGATACGGTGGTGAACAAAATTGCACGCTGGAGCTTACTGTCTACTTAGTGGAGAAGACTGACATGAATCATATAATTACAAAGATAAAATATGAGACAGAATAGCTGATTTTTCCTCAGTCTGTACGTTTGGTCATTCTCCCTAATTAATAAACTATAATATGTTCAGGACTTGCTATATTTAATAAATGCTGAGTTTGTGAGAGGTTTTCTGTGTGTGTGGTTTAAAAGGAAATTGCATTATAGGGAGTGAATGCTGCATATGCAATATAAACATTTGTCCCACCTCATCTCCCTCAGAGATTATAGCAAAATGGTGCAGTTAGATTGTATGTATGTATGTGTGTGTGTGTGTGTGTGGTAAAACCACATCACAAATATACCATGTTAATCATTTTTTTTAAAGTGTACATTTTGGTAGTGTTAGTATATTGACGTTGTTGTGCATTATCTCTAGACCTTCCTCATCTTACAGACTAAATTTTATACCCATTAAACAATTTTGTATCTATTAAACAATAGCAGCCCTTTTTCTCCCTTCCCCCAGGCCCTGTATAACCACCGTTCTACTTTCTGTGAACTTGATTACTTTAGAAACCTCATGTAAGTGCAATTACACAGTATTTGTTCTTTGTGTTTTGCTTATTTCACTTATTTCTGTAGTATAACATACTCCAGATCCATCCATGTGGTAACATGTGACGGGATTTTCTTCCTTTTTAAAAACTATTTATTATTGAATTATAGTTGGCATATAATGTTATATTAGTTTCAGGTGTACAACATAGCATTTCAACAATTCTATACATATTCAATGATAAATGTAGTTATCATCTGTCAACACACAATTTTGTTATAACATTAGTGACTATATTCCCTGTGTTGTACTTTTATCTCTGTGACTTATTTTATAACTGGAAGTTAGTAGCTCTTAATCCCCTTCACCTATTTTGCCCCCACCCCCACTGTTTGTTCTCTGTATTTATGAGTTTGTTTTGATTTTAAATTCCACATATAAGTGGGGTGCCTGAATGGTTCAGTCAGTTGAGCGTCTGACTCTCCATTTCAGCTTGAGTCATGGTCCCGGGGTCGTGGATTTGAGCCCCGTGTGAGGCTCCGTGCTGAGCGTGGAGCCTGCTTAGGATTCTCCCCTTTCTCTCTCTCTGTCTCTCTCTCTCTCTCTCTCTCTCTCTCTCTCTGCCCCTCTCCCTCTCTTTCTAAAATTAAATTTTAAAAAATTAAAAAAAATAAATTACACATATAAGTGCAATCATGTGGTAATTGTCTCTCTGATTTATTTCGCTTAGCGTAATACCCTCTAGATTCATCCATGTTTTCGTAAATGGCAAGATCTCATTCGTTTTTATAGTTGAGTAATATTCCTTTGCATATATGTACCACATCTTCTTTATCCATTCATCCATCAGTGAATAGTTGGATTGCTTTCATATCTTGGCTATTCTGAGTAATGTTACAATAAACATAGCGATGCTTGTATCTTTTCGAATTAGTGTTTTCGTTTTCTTTGGGTAAATACTCAGTAGTAGAATTACGGGATCGTACATGATTTATATTTTTAAAGAGTTTTATATATATATACATATATATATATATGTATATATATATATATTCAATCTTTATTTATTTTTGAGAGAGAGAGTGCCAGCGGGAGAAGGGACAGAGAGAGAGGGAGGCACAGAAACTGAAGCAAGCTCTAGGCTCCGAGCTGTCAACACTGATCCTGACATGGGGCTCGAACTCACGAACCGTGAGATCATGACTTGGGCTGAAGTGGGACACTTAACCAACTAAGCCACTCAGGTGCCCCAGGATTTGTATTTGTAATTAGTTGAGGAGCCTGTGTACTATTTTTCACAGTGTATCTTCCCACTAACAGTGCACGATGGTTCTTTTTTCTCTATATCGTCACCAGCGTTTATTTCTTGTCTTTTTGATACTAGCTGTTCTGACTGGTGTGAGGTGATCTCTCATTGTGGTTTTCATTGGCATTTCCCTCATAATTTAGTGATATTGAGCATCTTTTCATGTGTATGTTAGCCATTCTTACATCTTTCCTGGAAGATGTCTGTTCAGGTCCTCTGTCCATTTTTTAATCAGATTGTATTTTTGGTGTTGAGTTGTGTAAATTTGGCTATTATATATTTTAGAGTTATCCCTTATCATATATGTCATTTGCAGATACCCTCATTCAGTAGATTGCCTTTTTGTTTTGTTGATGGTCCCCTTTGCTGTGCAAAAGCTTTTATTTTGGTATGGTCTCAGTTGTTTATTTTTGCTTTTGTTTCCATTGTCTGAGACCTATCCATAACCTAGACCTATGTTGCTGTGGCTGATATCTAAGAGATTACTGCCAGTGTTTTCTTTTAGGAGTTTTTATGGGTTCAGGTCTTACATTTAGGTTTTTAAATCTCTTTTGAGTTTATTTTTGTGTATGAGGTAAGAAAGTGGTCCAGTTTGATTCTTTTGGGTGTAGCTGTCCAATTTTCCTCAACACCATTTATTGAAAAGCCTCTCTTTACCCCTTAGTATGTGCCTCTTTTGTCATAGATTAATTGACCACAGAAGTGTGAGTTAGCATTTTCCTTTTTTAAGCTGCGTGGTAGTCCATTATATGTATGTGTGACATTTTGTTTTTATCCATCAGTGTAGATTATTTGGGTAGCTTCCATCTCTTGGCTATGGTATATAGTGTTGCTATAATGTAGATATGCAAAAGCCCGTTGATACTCTGCTTTAAATTCTTGTGTCTTTATACCCAGAAGTGATATTGACAAATAGGGTTATTTTTAACAACACAATTTTTTAAATGCATATTTACTTTGAGAGAAAGATAGACAAAGTGCAAGTGGGGGAGGGGCATGGAGAGAGGGAAAAAGGGGGGGAGAGAGAGAATCCCAAGTAGGCTCCAAGCTCAGCACGGAGCCCAACGTGGGGCTCCATCTCGTGACTGCAGGT